CCCTTTAACATTGAAACAATATACAAAAGTTCACAATTCGATATACTGAAACAAAAGCTTCTTTTGGCGGACCTTCGTGTTTTTTTTAAAGCACACACAACGTCTCGCATCCCGCGCTCACGAATTCCGTGTAAACAAACTGTATATTTACATGCGTTGTATTCTCAGGGTGGACATCTGGGCATTTTCACTGCCTGACATCCATCGCCGGTGAAAACAACTGTCGAAAACTCTAAGAAAACTATTTTGGCCTATTTGTGGAGACTCTCCAGTGTAAGAAGACTACCCTACATATCCAACATATATCAATGTGGTTGTTCTGGATTGCCTACAAGTTGAGTTTGTGCTGTTTCCGTTACTTTAGCTGTTTTCACCGGCTCTTTGCCCGGCGTCCCACAGCAGCTCGCACAGACCCCATAGAAATACATGGTACTGAGTGGTGAGCCGCCTAGAGAATACGTAGATTAGTAACCATATCATACATGGCGCAACGCGACGAACGTAGTGTTTTACAATTAACTGAAACCTTACTTTTCACGGTAACTTCGGAATATATTCTTCTTTCCATTGGTGTGCGGTCCGAATGCAACTATTCACTCACCCACAGGGTTGTTCGCATCCAAGTGATGCACCATTTTCTTATTATTCTTACATCAATTGCAGGGCGTGTTCGTCAGAACTGAAATACTATTATGCAGATTAATTTACATAATCAGCATATGACGTCATAGCCCTGCTACCACGAAAAGACTCAGTAGAAGTTGCCATGACGTCGCAGTATTCATCAAACGATTCATCCATCGAAATCCAGGCACTTGCGAACATGTGAACCTGGGAAATTGACATTAATTGATATTTGATGGTACTAGTATGAACCAAAATATAATCAATTTGACGCAATGCATCACGGGAGTCCTGTTGAGATAATACTCGAGCGTTTGGTGACATTCGTGTCCAAACTATCGATGCCTTCAATGCACAAGACCTTGCGTAAACAGACGCACTTGTCTCGTGCGAGAAAAGCAGCCATAAATTTTCACCGATCTTTCTGCTAAAATAAACTCTGAAATCCAGGTTATAGTAAGTACACTAAACTTTCTTTGGTGTTTTTAAAACAAGCACGTGACACTATAAATATCAATTCATTATCGGAAACTTTGCGCAATATGACAAAATACGCATTTCTGAAAATGGTACGTGTATTAATACATGTAGAATCTAAGGTTAATTGATCTGTCGTGACGCGGTCTTGCGGAGGAAAAAAGAACTGTGTCATACTCTAACAATGTTTAAGCTTCGTGTTTGTTTGTTGGTTTGTTAGTTTCTTTTAAAGTTCCTGCCCGTATTCCATTTCCCCCGTCTGGGCTACGTGTTGTTGCAGTACTCTAAAAGACTTGGATTGGGAGCCAGGGTTTTTGTAACCATAGTAATCACCAGACATCTCATCTCGTTGCGGGATAAGTCTTGAATTCGCATCAACAGATCGAGGCAGTGGAGCTTGATTAAGAACAGCTGGGTACACCTGCGTTACGTTACTTCTGTGCCCTGGGCTGTTATTCATGTGGCTTGGACTGTATCCGGGACTATTTCTGTGTTAAATAGATATAGATATATTATTTTAATTCAATAATTTGCAATGGGTGCTTTTCGCGATCGGTGACTTTCCAAGAAAATACCATCTTTTTTTTACTTCCGTGTGCAAAGCACATAATAGGCCGGGAGTCTTTGGGGTTAGTGTGTCTGTATGTATGTGTATGTGTGTGTGTGTGTGTGTGTGTGTGTGTGTGACCGCCTGTTCTACTGATATCTCAAAAACCATATGTTGGTTTTGGATAGAACTTGATACATAGATACTCTGAGCTAATGCGCAGATTTGATTAGGTTTTAGGTTAAATCCGTGCATATTAATTACCTAATTTACATGATAATTAGCTAATCTTAGCTGTTTCATGACTGTTCCACTGATATCTAAAGAACTACTCATTGGATTTTAAAGAAACTTGGTATATGATTCTCTGGGACAATGCGAAGACCTGATTGGTTTGGGTAAAAAACATGCATTACCTAATTTGCATAATGATTAGTCAATTTTCGGCTTTTTCACTGATATCGCAAGTAATAATCATCACATTACAATAAAACTTTGTACATAGTGATCTAGGACAATGCAAAGACCCGTTAAGTGTTGGGTTAATATCCAGGCATATTAATTATCTAATTTGCATAAGTAGTACATTTTTTGGTATCTCAAAATATTCAATGAATTGAATTTGTGGTAGAGTTGCTCTGGGATAAATTAGACTGAAAACCACAGATGTAAAATCAAATGTATTTTTTGTAAGTATTATAAACTTTAATAATTTGGATCACATTGTTTTCACATTGTACATTTCAAATAACAGACAGCTATTAGTTACCAAGCTTCTTATTTGGAAGGCTAATTAATTTTTAATATGTCTTCAATACTCTCAACACACGGGAGTTCTTTCTAAGCTTTCTTTGATTTCAGTTGCCAGTGGAAGTATCAGAGGGCACGCGAGTGGCCATGAAGCCATTTACTATCGCTCAATTACTATCGCTCTTTGGGAGAGTTGCAGACTGGAGTATACTGGAGTTACTTAAGTTCCAATGGGGAATTGTGATTCTAATCAAGAAGGAAAACCGTCCTCCCCAAGCGACCCGCTTCTTTGAAAATCGCGTATTATCGTCATCTTGCCTTTCCAACAAAAAATATGAAGACTCAAAACGACTGATCATCGCTCAACTTCTTCGAACTGTTTGTAAGAAAATTACTTAAGTCCAGCGGAGACCCAACATTCTGATGAGGAAAAATCGGCGACAATACCCTGAAGGGAATGGGGAAGTGCATTTCAAAGCATATAGTACATATAAGATACTAGTATATAATTCAATCCAACAGTGTAAAAGAAAGCAAGCTATCCAAAGTAATTTGAGGATTGAAGGGAAACAATCGAGTATTATAAGTTGTAATTAGAAAACTTCTCAGCTGCCTTTGTGAACATTTCAGTCATGTATCAAATATAAACATTTGATTGATGAACGCTGTCTGGTAAAATGTGAATATCCATAACTTACAGAATATTTTTTCAGATAAACTAAGCAACAGTGTAGCGTAACGTGTATGGTATACACGATTCCCAATCTCTGTTCCGCGGCGTGTATAGTTTTGTTTGTTAACTGCTCCCGGCGGTATTTGGTATTATTATACATCTGTCACCGTAACGCTATACGTTACAGCGTGTCGTAATTTTGCGGTATTGAACTGGGTGTTTTCATCCCACCATATTAGGAAATGGGAATTCCAAATATGGAATGATTACGCGCGTAAGCGTCCTCTAATAATAAAAACAAACATGGCTGCCAACAGGGTTTGACCGGACTCCACACAAAGAAGTTCGCTGATTCTGTTCTAAACTTTTTGGATTTCGGCATTCCCATGTATCCTTTGGAGGAAAAGATGTATAATAATAAGGTACTACGAGGATACCGCAAAGTATGCACTCAGACGGTACGCCGTCGCATCGACTTGCCTTCGTGCATAATTTTCGGTATCCTCGTAATAACCACAGGTACACGAACGGCTCGCCGGGCACCCGAGGCTGAGCATACTAGCACAGCGGCAAGTGACTACAGCCGAGTTAGACTTGCTTACAAGTCTTATTGTTTTTCGACAATAAAAGAGATAAAAATTGCTAACATTAAAAAAAATAGTGCAGTGTTGGTGAATAACCGCGGAAAAAAATTCAGGGATTTTTTTTTTTTAAAAATTATTTTTATTATTTTCAAAAAATCATAAGAGAAATTCTAGAACCGAGTATATTTGCATGGGCGTGTCGCTGTGTGTAAGGGAAGTATAACAAACAAGAACGGATATGCGGAACAGGGACAGAAATTGAGTCTAATGAGTGTGTAGTTGTGACGCATTTAAGTAGATGACGTATGTGTCCTTGTGTGCATTTATGTGTAGTAGTGACGTGTTTGTGTATACGTAATAATGACGTGACATGCCCAATTGTGAATCATGTATCGCGGTGACGTATTGTATAATGACGTCACATCATCAACTTCAATACCAGGGATTGACAGCTTCTCCTGTATTTTGAAATAATGCAAACTACGTAGTCTTACCCTCTAACAACACCTGCCTGACCAGTAGAAATCATGTCCGTGGTTTGCCCTTTGAAAGAATCGGCAATGTTGTCAGCGGAGTAAATTCCAACAGGTGAATTGTATTGAAGGTGAACTACCTTGGCAGTTGGACTGGGTTGATGAGGCTGAAAAGGATACATTAGAGACGAAAATGATGTGAAATAAAATGAAACAATAAATCAATAAATATACTAGTATATCCTTGCTATATAAACCATGTTACTGTCACGTGATACGAAAGTAACGCTACGATAAAGACTCCGTTTTCGACATTGTGAAATTCTTTCGTTTTTATGCAGAAAAATATAACATTTTTACCAAGTAAAATTATATTTATTAAAGTTATTGTTCACGTATGAGTTGTTAAACACACTACATAGTTTTGAATTTCTTTGTTAAAATCAGTTTTTGCCCCCCAAAACGAAATAATTTCGCATTGTCGAAATTGTGACGTCTTTATCGTTGCGTTAAGTCCGGTAATTCTTGTATTATCGGCTGCTACCTTAGATAACGAACTTGAATGCTGACAGTCACACTTAAATTGATAAGTGTGTGAGGGAGTTATTTTACATTATAAAGTTAAATTGTATTTAAAATATATTATCATTGTCGAATACTATAACTAACGACGCTGTGGTCGTGGATCAATGTAGAGCGCCACCAAGTGATATAAAAACATACCTCTTCGTATTTCTCTTCGGCGCCGTGAGTTGGGTCAATTCTTCGATAGTAACTGGGTATTTTGGCTGGTTGGTGATGCGGCTGGTATTGCGGTTCCCGTCTGATCTCAACCCTCGGTCCCGAGTCATTATTTGGTGACGTCACTTTATTAAATCCCGGCGACCGCGCCGAGGCAGGATCATATCCATAAGTGAAAGGTTTCTTATTGCTTGTAGGACTCGGACTTATCACTGGTCTGAATGATTGGGATCCTGTAGTAGGGCTGGCCTTTCCAAATAATTGAGGCGGTCTTGCGTAATCAACTTGCTGTGGGGAGCGGACTGGGGATAGAGCAGGAGGTGAGGTGTAGCTGACAGGGGAATGAGCATTTTGCTGGTAGGCAGCAGGTTGACGGACATGTTGTTGGTAGGGTGCCGGTGAACGGGCGTGTTGTTGGTATGGGGCAGGAGACCGAGCATTTTGCTGATAAGGAGCAGGAGACCGAGCAGGTTGTTGATACGGCATAGGAGGCGCAGGTGGCGCTGGTGGTGGAGCTGCTCTCGATTGCTGATGTGGTTGCTGTTTCTGTTGATTGTGATTTCCATCAGCTCCTCTCCTAAAATTAACAAGAAATGGAATAAAATAGAATAGTAATTATCATTTTTGAGTAACGTCGCCTAACGTCAAGCCAGCA